TGTCACAAATGCAAATGATTTCTGAGGCCCTGGGGGCAGGCTGGTCCGGGAGGGCGGGCGCCACCCAGCGGCAGGGCTTCCCAGGCGGCCCCCGCAGCCCACAACCCCGACTCCCCTCGTTTGTGAGAGATGCTTGTGGCGAGAGGCCCCGCTTAACACCGCTGCCTTCTCTGCGCTCTCGTTGCCTCATCGAAGGAGGCCCTGCGGCGTGCGGGCCGACGGCGTCCCCAAGCCCCTCTGCACTGGTCGTCTGGGCTTCCCTGCAACCTTGCGTTAGTCCTTCACTGGCGCTTGCAGGTAGAAGCACTACAGGCTTAGGAAACGAGGCAAATTTCCTCATGCCAAACGGGCAACGGGAAGCCTGGAGTCTTCCCACCTGCAATTCCGCAGCTTGAAACTGCAGGCAGCCCCAGGCAGCTCCTGGGGTCCCACCAGCACGGCCTGCACGGTGACAACAACAGACCCGGCCAAGAACCAGCTCCTCCTGCTACAAGGAAGAAACTGAAGTAAAAGTGACCCCCGCACAACTGTCAATGCTAGGAAAGAACTGGCGTTCATTTTTTAAAATTGATTTTTCTTTACTGTCCTGGGTCATTTCTGTCATTACAACTGCAGGCACTTTTTTCCCTTCAGTTACAACAATCATCAGCATGCATTAAGCTCCTACTACGCAGCAGGCTCTGTGGTGAATGGTTCACGCTCACTTCTCATCCCATGAAGTAAGTCAAACTATGATGTCCATCCCAGGAAAAGAAAAAGAGGCAGAGGCTAAACAACCCGCCCAAATCACACAAGTGACAGACGGGACGTCTGGCCCCGGAGCCCCGGCGCTGCGCCAAGGCCGGGGGGGGGGGGGGAGGCGCTCGGAACTCACCCAGAGGCAGCCCCCGGCTCACTTCGTGCTGAGCTCTGTTCTCAGCGCTTAACGTGCATCATCCCGTCACCTTACTCACCCCCACACGAGTCCTAAGACGCACTGTGCCCTATTAAACAGGTGGACAAGCCGGAACTCAGAGGCTAAGTGGTTTGCCCAGAGGTGCACAGGCAGTAACACAGAAGCAAACATCAAACGCAGGCAGGCGGGTGTGGATGAACCAACAAAGGCAGCTGGCCTGGAAAAGACCGCAAAGATTGATCCAACAAAATTTTATGCCACAATCTAACCTTCAAAACCCAAATGCTGCGTGTGGCCACGTGACTGCTCTTCTCGCCAGTCTAGACAAGGGCCACCAGGAACCCCGCACACACGCTTGGAATTTCTCCAGACACGGGACAGCAGTGCAGTCAGACCTCTAGGGATGGAAGCCCATGGCAAATTGGGGCCCCAGAGAGCACCCGGCGACCTGGGTCAGTGGGATGCACGTCAGGTGCGCACCTGTCACTCACTATCCTGGTCATCACCAAAAATATTTATTTTTATTCAAGAAAAATGTATGTAGTTCCTATTTTGCTGGGCATTGTGTTAGGTTCATTTCCCTCTAAGTATTAGAGTCAGCGACTGAAAGATGGAAAGATAAATAATGAGAGTCTGACCCCGGAGGAGCACACTGTCTTGTGGAAAAGGCAGGCGTCTGGATACTTGATTTCAAACAAGCAGACGCGCACACAGAAAACAACAGAAATACTAACACCATGAGGCTCAGACATAGCAGAGAGAGGGGACTGAAGAGCTGTGGAGAGGTGGCCGGAAGGGCTTCACAGAGGGAACCGCACGCTGCAGGCATAAGGATGAGTCAGATTCTGCAGGAAAAGAAGGGAAGGGCGTTCCAGGCACAGGGAACAGCACTCCCGCACACACCAAGGCTTGGAACAGCAGGCACGCTGGAAGAACCACACACGATGCCATGCACTGGCCGTGACATTAGAGAGATGCTACATGGGAAAAGGAGAAGTGGAGGTCCTGGAAGGCGCCGGGTTGCACACTGCAGCTGAAGTCCGTGGTGGTAAGATCGGAGGATTAGGAAGATCAGTCTGAAACAGGGTGAGCTGCCTGGAGCAGGGAGAGACCGAGGCAGCAAGGCCAGCGAACAAACGATGAACAACGAACAGTGAACAGACAAACGAACCCTGGAATGGGGTCGGGAGCCTAGTGGTTACTTGGTCTCAGCCTTCAGGATGCGCATACACAAGCACGTACGTGTGCATGTGTGTAGCTGGTCTGCTGGATTTACTCTTGAGAACAAGCTGACAGTCTCTAAAACTTCTTTTTCCTGCTCTAACATTTTCACGAACATAAAACATTTGCACAAACATAATACATCGTCAGAGTGCACTCGTGCTACAAAAATTGATGACATGATATGGTATAATCTATAATATAGAACAATGTTAAAGTTCGCGCTGTTATCAATTAAATATGAATTCAATCTAATGCCTTGATCTTTTGGAAATGCACCAAAGTCCATTAGTCTCAGATCATAAATTTATCCATTTGAGAAGCGCACAAGCACTTGCCTTTGTCGATTAGAGATTTAAAATATTCCAAGCTGAAAGAACATTTGATAGAGACCTTGTATTAATCGACAGACTCCTTCAAGGTGTCCCCCTGAATAAAATCTATACCCTACAAACATCAAACTTGCTAAGAGACTAGATCTCATTTATTCTCCTCGCAGAGAAGAATTAAATCCACGACGTGATGGAGGTGTTAGCTAAGGCTGTGATGCAATTACACTGCAACACATAAACACATCCAATCAGCATGCTGTGCACTTTAAACTGAAAAAAAAATTTAACAATGGTAAAAAAATTTTTAATGTTTTTGCCAGAGGAAATTTTCATAGAATATGTAGATTTTCTCTTCAGCATTTTGCTACTCATAAAAAAATTCCTAGAAATTTCAGCTAGCACGCTATTTTCAACCAAGGAAAATTTTACTTCAGAAAAAATTTAGGTGCTAATTATGTCCTGACACAAGATTAAACTCCCTCTGTGAACAAACTGAACTCACTACACGCTTCTCAGGCAGCGTGACGGGTCACACTGCTCCACAGACATATCAGCGGGGCCTGGTCCACAGCAACAAAAATCAAAAGGCCAAGTTCTGTTCCCTGGTTGGCAGGATCACAGGCTTGTCAGCAAGAGAATCTATTTTCTGTTACTAACTGAAAGGAAGAGAGCACACCCAACCACTGATGTTCAAAAGCACTTTTTTCAGAGACAACATTGTATCTGTCTCTCTCAGGGTGGGTTTAAAAACAATGGTTCAGAAACACTGGTCACTACTTCATTTTGCCCAAAGATGATTCTGATGCCCAGAATTTGTCAGATACCATCCATTTCACTTCTCTGTCAGACAGAAGGTAGCATGTTTAAGAGCAAGAAAAATAATCAAACAGACCAAGAGGTAGAAACTAAAAATTCAGACCGGGGAGGCGCACAGTGCTTTATTCATGCCTCAGTTTCTACAGCAGGGAAACGAAGACTATTTTTGTTGTAGCTTAGGCTTTGGTGAGAATTTGCTGTTATTCACAAAACATATACATACAATACATTTTGTTGGTAATGGTCCAAGGCGATAATTTAATGCCACCTTCCTTTCAAGTATTGTTCTGGAGTAAACACTGACTTCAAGAGAAAGAACCAAAAGAACTAAACACATTTTAAAATATACATATTCTTTGCAATATAAAACCAAGCATAAAAAGCAAGATAACATCTTAAAAGCAAGTTTATGTGACATAATGCAACCTACATTATAAAAATAATTCGGCGTTCTTCCCGAGGCAGCCACTAAAAAAGCCACGCAGACAAAGCAACCAAAAGAAGCAATAACAGGTGTTCCTAACCTGCAGTGGAAGAAGGTGCAACACCTCCGGCCTCAGGCTCTGCGGGCATCTCTTGCTGGTTTTTTGACTTAACAATCCTTTCCTCCTCTTGGCTGGGTGGTGCAGACATACCCGACGGGTTTTCTCTGCCAACTGAAATTAAGAATTTTTAAAAGATGCTATCCTCTCAAAATCACTTGATTCTTCTCAGAAAACTCACCATATGTTCAGCTATGCAAGTTTAAGTTTTGCTATTGTTTCCACTTCAATGCCTCATCAAATCTTTTTACTCTGCATTACACAGTTCACCAGAAAGTGATTTTTTTTTTATTCTTAGCAGCACGTTGCACATGAATGGTATTCCTATTAAATCCATTCACTGCTCTGTGAATCCAAGCAATAATTTAACGCCACAGTATGAATCAAATGACTCATTCAGGATGTTTTTCTTATAGATTCTAAATGGGAATTCCTTTGCTAATCTGGTACATTGCTTTCATCAAAGGGAAAACTAACTAAAATGTCATTCAGACAAGACTTCATGTGACTTTACTGAAATTTAAGAATCCAGTAAGCATATATATACATGCAAGTGAAGAAAATATTCGCTATTTTTCTGCCTTTTATTTGGAAGCAAGTTGTTTTGGTGTCTTGTTCAGAAATAAGTATCTTCAACCTAGCTGAACAACGACTCCGGTTTTACAGCGTATGCCCCCGAATGCTATTTGCACTCAGGATTTAGAAGTTCAAGTTGCCTGTGTTTCATTTCCAAGGACCAGGCACAGTACAGCCATTTTTAAATGGAAGTAGTGATAAAGGTAAGGACAAAACAGCATTTCCATTGGCACACACAGTTCAACAAACACGAGCCTTTGGACAGCAGCATCCCTTGGTCTTTCCTTTGTTGAGGTGTCTAAGGATTAACCTGAGTCAAAATAAATGCCTTAGAGGAGTTGTAGCAACCAATTCTGCAGGAGCACCTCCCTGTGCAGCCCGAGGTGGGGACAACGCAAACCTGATGGGGAAGCCGAAGGGCTCGTGGTGGACACGTCCGTTTCTCTAGCTTGTGGCTCTTTTTTTTTTTTAACATTTTTGATTGATTTATAATCATTTTACAATGTTGTGTCAAATTCCAGTGTAGAGCACAATTTTTCAATTATACATGAACATATATATATATTCATTGTCACATTCCTTTCTCTGTGAGTTACCATAAGATCTTGTGTATATTTCCCTGTGCTGTACAGTATAATCTTGCTCATCCATTCTACAATTTTGAAATCCCAGTCTATCTCTTCCCACCCTCCAGCCCCTTGGCAACCACAAGTCTGTATTTTATATCTATGAGTCTATTTCTGTCCTGTATTTATGTTTTGGTTTTTTTTTG